TCCATTATATAGCTACATTTCGTTTCTCCATTCATCATGGACGTTTGAATTGTCTCCATTTTTTGGCTACTATGATTCGGGCTGCTATGAACATTCCTGTACAAGTTTTGTGTGGACACACGTTTTCATGGGGGACGTATCTAGGAGAGGAATTGCTGGATCATATGGTAACCCCATGTTTAACAGTTTGAGAAACTGCCAGACTGTTTTCTAAAGTGGCTGCACTTTTCTCTAAAAACAGCTCATTTTTATTTTTAGATCTTCTCAATGGTGAAGGTTCCAAGCATTTTAAATACATTAACATTGTCTAAGAGGCAAGGACACCTCAGTCCATTTCAGCGACGGGGAAACTTGTCCAACATCACCCAGCTGGTGAGAGGCAGCCCTGGGATCAAGCAGAAGCCCACCCAGCCCCAGAGCTCCATCCCTTCCCTCTCGATCCCGCTGCCACCCAGGAGGTGCGGGGACCTGTGACCAGGCTCTCTCCTTCCTCCACAGGCCTGGGGATGCCCCAGAAGCTTTCTCCTTAGGGTTCAATGGTCTCCCTCTTCTTCCTGCTCCAGAGAATCCCCCAGGCCTGGGGCAGTGTGTTTAATATGAATCAGCAGAAGGCACAGAAGCGGGTCCTGATGTCCTGAAGTCTCTGGACTCCCCAGAGCCAGAGGGGATGACACTCAAAGGACAGTGGCTCTTGCCATGTCCCCTTGACTCATCTGGGGAGCCTGACAGTGAGAGCACACACCTGGGGAGCACGAGGGGTGAGGCAGAGGCAGACAGGAAGCCAACACGGTTCAGCTGCTCTCCGTGGCCAGGAGGTTGGCGTCTGTGGCCTGGGGTATCTTCTCCTCTGCCCAGCCCCCACTTCCCTCACTGCTCAGCTCATGAGGTCTCGAGAACAAATAAAGGAGTGGATCAACCAGGTATCTTCCAGCATAGTGATTAACTCAGTGAATCAAAGTAGATGATCTGGCTGCATGCATCTATGCATGCACAACTCTCAGTTTCCTCACTTGGAAAACAGGAATATTTACCTCTACATGCAGCCGTGAGGGTTAAAAGTCCTACAGCAGAGTGCGGGGAACATAGTGCCCGGAGAAAACTATTTAGCTCCGTCTCTGCACCTTAGTGCTTGCAAAGTGCCAGGTGCCAGCCTAGGGGCTCACGACAGGCAGTGAGGAGGGCCCTGGTACTATTCCCATACTGCAGATGAGAAGACTGAGATTTGTCGAGGTTACATAATTCACCCAAGGTTGTGCAGGGAGTAGGAGGCAGGGCTGGGATGACAGCCCAGATCTCCTGGCCCCAGGGACGAGGCTCTTCGACACTTTGTTCTACGAGGACCCAGAGGTGAGTGAGATGGAGCAAAGTACTGACTCCCAGGAACAGATGGACAGTTCAATTCATCTTCACTGCTCAGCCTTGCTCCAAAGAGAGGCCTGGCAGAGGCTCCAGAAAGAGGCCTCCTGCAGATGCTGACAAAAGAAGAGGAGTGGACAGAGTCCATTAACCAGGCGCTAATGAGCGTGTGTGGAGCATGGCCCCTTCCTCTGGCCAGATTGCTGTCACGACAGATTAGATAAGAGGGAACACCAGCGTGGTGCTGGCCTCCCAGTGCTCAGAAAGCCCACCAGGCTGCAAAGGCCACAGGAGCTGCACCTCAGGACTGTCACCATCCAAAAATCAAAATAGGACTAGGGGGCTCAGGACAGCCCCCAGCTGTCAGGTTGTCTGAAGCAGACGGGGTGCTCTGACAGCAGACGCATGCAGACGCAGGCCCAGGGAGCTGCTTTAGGGCTTCGCACGTCTCATCAGCTCCTCGCCAAGACCTTCACCAGACACGATGATCAAAGAAGGGTCTCTGTCTTCTGTCCTCTAATTCCTGAACTGCACCCCATGGCTCCCAAGGCTGCCGTCACTGCCTGGAGGTGTGATCTGCTCCTAAGAAAGGTGGGCCAAGAGGCACAGACCCCAGGGCTGCTCCAGGACCTAATATGGGTTTCCAGCAGGACAGAAGCAAGAGTGCTGCCCCGGGTCCCGCCCCTGCTTGGACCAGACCGCCACCTTGGGTACACATTGCCTCCCCTGCGCCTTGGTTTTCCTCTCTCTGAACCCAGGGCGGCTGGACTAGTTTGGGGACGGGAACATGAGGACTCTCTGCTGTCACCCGTCCCATAACCACAGCAGAAGTTGCACCATTCTTTTCCACTGAGCCAGGACCCTGCCTCAGAATCCTTCTTAACACAGAGCTCCAAGCCACTACCGCTGATACATCAGAGTCAGCCTGTAAGAGGAAACTGGTTGTCACGCTTGATCTGAGGTGTGCCTCAGCTCTAAAGGCCTGTCATTCTGCTCTGCACTGGAAGCCTCTACCCAGTGTGTTTCACGTCTCTGATTTCTTTCTTCTAGTTTTTTCTAGACTGCCTGTGCCTTGGCTGGGAAGGTGGGGCTGTGTTTGTGTGGCAGGAGACAGGTAGGCTGGAGGTAGCCCCCATGGCCTTAGGAGAGCTTGTCCCGGTACCCACAGCTCAGCTGCAGTTTCAGGGGGGTCCCACCAGTCTCAGCAGCTCTCCGGCCAGTCCCACTGAGTGTGGCTTTGTGGGCACAGCAATCCCACCACTGTGACTACCCCACTGGGTACAAGGATTTCAACACAGTGTGGCAGGGGAATTTAAGTTTCTCCAGGCAGGGTGGTGACCACCAGGGCCAATTCCACACCTGCAAGCCTGGGATGCTTTTCGGGCTCAGTCCTGCAAAGCACCATGTCAACACAACACCCTTTCATCTACATCATGACCTCATACATTAACCACATGATCTAGTCTCCAAGTTGTTCCTAATGTCTTTCTTGCACAAAGATGGAATGAATCCTGGGGTTTCCTGTTGAAGTCACAGCGAGTGAGCTGTGATAAGTGAAGAATCCTGATTGGGGCAGAATCTAAAATGTCCTACAACAGAACACAGGTAGTATTAAAAAGGGCAGCATGCTGTGGCCACCTGGGCCTTGAATGGGAGAACAAAGATAAAGAGACAAGGATCCTCTGCCAGAAACAGAGGTTGGTGTTGATCTTACCCTACAGAAAAACATCCAGGCAGAAAGTAAACCCTTCTAGACATCTTTTAGATGTGTTTCTACTCAAATATCAACCTTTACTTACAAAAGTGAAGACTTTTGAAGAGGTAAAAAGACATTAAATAAATTCTTTTACAGATTTCACTTTCTGAAGTCACATTTTCTTAAAAGGTAATCTTAAGAACAAAGCACCACATGGCACAAGGCTAGTCCAGTTCAATGAGCATCCTATCAAGCACCTGCTGTGAGCAGGGAGCCACGCCAGCCCTGTGGGAGGGAGTAGCTAGGGGGATGTTGCCCTACCCTGGGGGGCTGGAGGCCAGCAGGAAAGAGAAGCAGACGACCACCTCCAGCAGAAAGGGATGGAGACCTGCCTCTCTCAGGGACCCTGAGGGCCGCAGATCTGTCCAAATGTCCATGTTGTGAGAAGGCAGAAGGCTTCCTGCAGGAGGTGGCATTTGTGACAGGTCTTGAGAGAGAAGCAGGAAGATTTTTAGCTGCAGGGAGAGACATACATGCAGAGGACCAAGCTGAGCTCCTAGGTGATATTCAGGAGGGGTGAATCTGGCTGAAAAGCAGGGAGAAGTCAAGTAGGAAAGAAGCTCCAGGAACTAAGTCAATGAAGGTGTTTGGGCTTGAAGACCGGCGAGGAGAAGATGCTGTCTTATGGCAGCAAAGGGGAGCCACAGAAGGGAATGAGCAGAGAAGCAGGTCCAGTAGGACAGAGCTTTAGGAAGTGGGGGTGTCAGTCCTCAACCAGGAATCAGTGGGCACCACAGCCAGGCTGGCCTCTGGAGTCCACCAGTGAAGTCTGGGCTTTACTTTGCAGCAGCAAATGAGACCCAAAAGGCTGCCCAACCTGAGGCCACACACCAAGGGAGCACCAGATGAGAACCCGCAGCTCCAGCCTGCGAGCTCAAGACACCTGTTAATTGGCTAAGTCTGATGGCAGGCCTTGCAGGGGGCTGACAGTTGCACAAACACAGCAGACTGATGGATTACGGAGCCTGTCACTGGCAACAAGACTGAATTATCTTGGCACCAAAGGTGGCACCAAAGGTGGCTTCTGGGTTGGGCATGCCAGGAACCTGACAAATCCAGTCTGCTGATGCACTTGGAATGGCTAACCCTTCTGAAATGCACAGCTGCAAATGCTCTGTATCACCATCTGTCATATTGAATGCTGCGAGGGTAAGATTTTCCTATAGTGGGTCTGATGGTGAACTGCGTGGCCTAATATGGCTATTGAAAGTCAAATTTAAATTAATGAAAATTATGTAATGCCAGAAATAATGTAATTAGAAAGTTGCACAAGACACATTTTTAGTGCTTAATAGCCACATGTGGCTACTGTATTAGCACAGACTACAACATCTCCATGCTCATAGAAAGTTCTATTGGACAACACTGGTCTCTAGCAGGGGTCAGTTAACTAAGCCCCAGCCTGAGGGACGAATCCTACTGACAAATGTTGTGAATAAAGTTTTATTAAAACACAGCTGTGCCCAGTCATTTACGTACTGTGCAAGTCTGTTTTTGTGCTACAACAGGAGAGTTGAGCACTTGTGACAGAGAATGCATAGCCTGCAAAGCCTAAAGTATTTACTATCTGATCCTTTGTAAGAGAAGTTTGCAATCTGGGACATACACTGTTAAAAAGCTGCATGAGATCTTTTCTGGAAAGCTGCTCAGGGGTATCCCCCAGAAGTCATAGTGGGTCCCAAGGCCAGGATGACTTTACTCAAGCACATGCCTCTCTTGGGGAGGAGGCAGGCAGCACATAGCTGTCAGCACCAGTACTGAGCTTGATGGGGACACAGGACGCCCGATCCCAAGCAGGCATCTCCTCAGGGGTGATGGACCACAGGGAGAGGTGGTGGGGCTTGGGGAGCTGTGAGTGCACCCAGGAAAGCCACACACTAGGAGGAGCTTACTCTCTGCTTCCTTTATTTTTCTCATTCTTCCCAGATCAGTGGGCAGCAACATTAATAAAGAATTAGACAAACTCTTGCCTCGTGTGCTCTGCAGTCACCCCTCTGAGCCAGTGCTTCACAGATCATTCTAAGAGCTCTTCATCAAACTGAGCCTAATTTGAAGGTCTGGCATCCCACACATCAAAGATAACTCCCATAGTGATGGCAGGCCGGCTCAGGGGTGCTCATTTCTCTGAAAGGAGGGCCACAGGCCAGCTTCCTTCCGGTCCTTTCCAAGTCCTAGTAGGTCAAAGAGGGGGGCAGGCTAAAGGTCTGGTCCCTCCAAAAGGCTGGCACCCCCCAGGGCTTCTAGACCCACAGGGGGTGGGGGGGTTGTCGCCGAGGACCCGGCACACATGCAATGAGCCCCATGGCACACTGGCTGCCTATTAATTGCTCTCTAATTATTTCAGCCTTTCTCCCCTTTTATAAACATGATCCTTTGTTGAAAGAGAAACTAAGCTGATTCAAGAGGCTGACCGATGCTCATTCAGTTATGTGTCTATTCCCAACTGAGTGCAGAATTTATCTATCCTGGGGCTAGAGATGGTGGTTTCTCTTAGAATGCCCATGAACATCTCAAATGGTAACATTTGGGGTGGTGGATCTGGGAACGCTGCGATTTTAGCTGTGCAAAATTCAAATACACGGAGAACTCTTGCTGTCACGCAAACGGGAAGCAGGGGTTTCCCTACTATGCAGCCAGGAGGCCCTGAATAGACCAGCAACTCTTACTCCCAGGTTGATTTGCTGAATTCTGTCACTCCTACCAGCCCTTCTCTGTTGATCCGCCCAAGTTATTTGGGTAAATGGGAACAAAGAAAATATCTTAAGCCTTCAGCTTTCCCCTCGGGACCAGCCTTGCAAGACACACATTCTCCCAGGCCTTCTTGAATTACAGAGGAAACAACGGGGAGCAGGTTCTCTATGGGGCTATGACTGGGGGTGGTTTAATTTGCAGGGGTCCGGAACATGTCTCAAGTGTTGGGAGGTCACCCGCGCTGCCGTCTCTTCCGCCCCCGCAGCTTCAGCCGCCTGGCTGGCAGGCTGACAGGCTGCTTCCCGAATTTCTCCATAATCTCTCTGATCCTAGCTAGGTTGGTTTTGCTGAGCGTGAAGTCACATCGTGTGGCCCCCATGTCGTAGCCGACCATGCAGTTCTTGGTAGCTGAGGTGAAACCTTCTGCCTTGACTGTGACCACATACTCTCCGGGGTTCAGGAGGCGCCAGTAATCCCCATCGCTGGCTGTGAAAAGAAAGCAGGGAATTCAGGGGGGTTCTTTCAGATCCCACCAGCACTGTTATTCCAAGTCTCCCAGCCACAGAGAGACTCAGAGCAGGCAGTGTGGAATTCAAGTCCCTGCAGATGCGAATTCTTAATGCGTTTTGGAAGCCAAGATGTTTTCCTCTTTGGAAACCACCATAATGGTTTTAACAGGCAGGGGTTGGGGTGTAGGCTCCCTGCAGATGGAAATGGAGATGGAGAAATGAGCACTCACACTCCTTCTTTCATGACAGTGGGAGCCATTCACTATGAACTTGAATTTCCAAACAGTACGCCCTCACCGCAAAATGCCGTCCTGAAAAGCCATCGGTGCCTGGCTGCCTGGC